ACTCAAACAGGAAAAATAATAATAACAATAAAGAAGAGTATTTGAGAACAAATTTTAACTGACAGAGAGCCTGAAAGGCACCAGATGATATAATAAGAGAAACAGTGGGAATTTCTTCACTGACGAGTGTTAAGAAAAGAGTATTATCGCCTTCCAATTATGATTTTATATCTATTCTCCCCAAAGACACATGTACTTGAAACCCCTCCTAGCCCCAGAAGAGTGGATTCTATGGTCCTGATGAGATTGTGTGCATTAGAATCACTTCTCCTGGAAAGGAGACGCTAAAGGGTACTCGAATAAAATATTAAAAATTATGAAGGACATAACAAAGGCCAATCAGTTCTTTCTTTTCCCCAGACCCCGTAATATGAGAACAAGGGTTATTTGATGAAATTAAAGAGTAGCAAATTAAGTGCTAATAAAATGAGATAGTCACTTATAATTCATTACCGTGGGAGGTCACAGAGGCAAATTCTGTGGCTAGATTAAATATGGGGCTGGATAATTTTATGACCACTAATGATATTTTTAGCAGTAGAGGCCGATATTGTGAGAGAAGTAATCCTATCACATCCTCCAGGAGATGGCTGGCAGGGACCTCTGGCAAGTGGTATCTGGGAAGCATGAGCATAGGCCTTGCGGGTTCTGACCCTTGTTGGGGAATTGTACTAAAAATACATTTTTCAGGGGAATGTTTTTAGGTATCCCCTTCACGCTTCAGTCCCAACGTTTCCTCTGGAGATTCAGAAGTTCTTTCTAATCAGAAGCAATTGGGCTACAGAGTTTCACTGGACAAGATCCTAAGTTCTAGAGATCTGTCGTACAGTAACGTGACTGAAGTTAACCATGCTGCATCGTCTCCTGGGACAGTGTCATAGCATAGGTCTTACATGTTCTGAGCACACCCGCAGAAAAGTTAAATGTGTGAGGTGATGGATATGTTAATTACCTTGATTGGGGAAATTAATTTACAGTGTGTCTCAAATGCATATCAAAACACCAAGTTGTACACCTTAAATATATATCATTTTTATTTTTTAATTGCACCTTAATAAAGCTGAGGGAAAAAAGAGGAAACAGTAAAAAATAAAATAAAAAAGAAGCAACTTGGAAAGACTTCCAGAATTAGATTACTTCTGGACTTTGGGAACCATTGAGCTAGTTTATTGAATACCATCCATGTATTATGCACTTTGCTTGGATTTCTAAACACCTCTCTGGAGAATGAACATGTAGAGAAGTCAGTGCCCTTCAGCACGAAGGGGACTGTACTAAGATAGACTGCAAAGGAGCCCATGGAAGAACAAAGAGGCAAGAATAGTTCAGCCTTGGTGGTTCAGAGGAGGCTCTCGGAGAAGGTGGCATTGGGACTGTCTTTCCTTAAATTGAGGTATGATGGAGATAATACTATTTTCACGGGTACAACATAATGAGTTGATAAATGTATTGTTGTGAAATAATTACCACAATAAAGTTAGTTACTATTTATTACCACACAGTTATACTTTTTTTTCCTTGTGATGAGAACTTTTAGGTGACTTTTAAATAGACAGCACAGCATTATGAACTATAGTCACTGTGCTGTACTTGACATCCTCGTGGCTTATTCTTTTGTAACTGGACGTTCGTAGCTTGTGCTCCCACCTTCACCCATCTTACCGCCCTCACCACTGCCTCTGGCATCCACCAGTCTCTTTCATCTATCTATGAGTTCAGTTTCTTTGTTTGTTTTTTTTTAGCTTTCACATCTAAGTGAGATCATACAACATTTGTCTTTCTTTGAATGAATCCTTTCACTTAGCATAAGGCCTTCACAGTTCATATACAAATACTACGACTTTTTTTCTATGGCTGAATAATATTCCATTTCATTCATATATATATATGGCACATTTTCTTGATCCATTCATTTGTCAGTGGACAGTTAGTTTGTTTTCATATCTTGGCTACTGCAACTGATGCTGCAGTGAACATGGGGATGCTGATGTTTATTTGATTTAGTGATTTTGTTTCCTTCAGGAAAAAATTCAAGTGGAGTTGCTGGATCATTTGGTAGTTCTGTTTTTCTTTTCTTTTCTTTTCTTTTCTTTTCTTTTCTTTTCTTTTCTTTTCTTTTCTTTTCTCTTTCTTTCTTTCTTTCTTTTATTTTTTTTAGTAACCTTCACACTGTTTTCCATAGTGGCTACACCAATTAATTAATTTATTTGTTAATCCTCACATGAGGATTTTTTTCATTGATTTTTAGAGATAGTAGAAGGGAGGGAGGAATGTGGGGGAAGAGACAGAGAGAGAGAAACATCAACTGGTGCCTCCGGCACATGCCCTGTTTTGGGCCAGGGATCAAACCTGCAATCCAGGTACATGCCCTTGACCGGGAATCAAACCCTCAACCCTTCAGTATGTGGGCCAACACCTAATCACTAAGCAATACTGGCCAGGGCTGCGCCAGTCTACATTCCCACCAACAGTGCTCAAGGGTTGTCTTTTCTACACATTCTCACCAACACTTATTTCTCAGTTTTTTGATAATAACCATTCTGACAGGTGTGAGCTGATGTCTCATTGTGGTTATGATTTGCATTTCCCTGATGATTCGTGATGTTTAGCATCTTTTCATGTACTTGTTGGCCATCTGCATGTCTTCTTTGGAGAAATGTCTGTTCAGATCCTTGAACTGAGTCTAAGAGGTTGAGTAAGAGTTCACTGTACAGGTAAGATAAGGGAAGACACCGCAGGCAGAAGGAACCGACAGCATGCACAGGTCCAGAGCCGGGCATGATGGAATGTGTCGGTCAACTCCCACTACTTTGGAAAGCCTGTGCGACAGTGTTCGATTGGCAGAGAGGGCGAAGAGGGGCATGAGAGGAGGAGGGAGTCAGAAGTCAGAGACTGGGATTGCTAAGACCTCTTCCTAGCAGCAATGGCCATGGTGGGTGGGGAGTAGGAAGAGGTGGGGAGGAGCTTCCAGGAAGTGTCCCATGAAATAAAGGACAGCCCCTCAAAACCTGCCCACAGTCATAGACTTCCTTCTTTTAAAAATATATTTAAATATGTTTTTATTGATTTTTAGAAAGAGAGGAAAGGACAGGGAAAGAGAAAGAGAAACACTGATGTGAGAAAGAAGCATTGATTGGCTGCCTCCTGCATGCTCCTCCTGGGGGTGGGGTATCTATCCTGAAACCGAGGCATGAGCCCTGACCAGGAAGCAAACCCACCACCATTTGGTGTGCAGCACAACGCTCAACCAACTGAGCCACACCAACCGGGGTGCCTTCCCTTTTTTGACCACTGTCAACAGCTGCCTGGTGGTGAGCATTGTATATCACCCAAATGTTTGCTTCACTCAGTTTTACAGTCTGCCTGAAACAGTCTTTAGTGTGAAACTGATCACCATTATTAGTACTTAAAAAAGAGCCCCCTGCCTTTGGTTAGAGGGAGGTTCTTACAGGTCTCAGATTAATTGGGATGAGTCCAGTATTTGTCTCCAGTGTTTCTATTCCCTTGGGCTGTACTGGGAACCAAATCAGTTTTTGAGTGGGGAGGAAGAGGCAGATTTTATTTGCCTGACCTTGGACTCCCAATTCTCTGTGAAGTTGGTTCAGCAGACAAGCAGGAAAACATACAATGTCTTCGAGGAACAGATGGATTGAAATGTTAAAAATCTGTTTCTTAAACGATTTCAGCTAACAAAATAATTTAATTAGGGAAAAAGACACCCAGACTATGTTCCTTCTTCAGTGATATTTAAATAAGAATATCATTTCTAATCACTCAAATGCTAACTTGGAATTTCTACACCATTAAAATTGATAAGAAGAATCAAATGGAAATGAGAGAGAGAGAGAGAATGACTGTCTTTTGTAGAAACTGGTTTTCTTTGTAGTTTTTTATCTTTTTGGTGGATGCAAATAATTTATTTGTCTCAAACTGCAATCAGCGGTTTTCCCCATCACATTATAAATAATTGTTGAATTGTGACACATTTCCTAATGAGAAGGCTTTTCCATGGTAGTCCTTCAAGGCCCTTCTGAAAAGATTCTTTACAAACGTGAGGTTACCAGAGGGATAGAGAAGTGAGGTTAGTTACAGAAGGTGAATGGGTACATGCTCGGTTCCTGGGAGGCCACCTGTGCTAGTGTCAGGAGGTGCAGTTGAAATGCATGTGCACTGGACGCTGTGGTTTAGACACCCAAAGGTGAATAAGGTCATGACCCACAACATAGGAAGTACAAGAGACAGTTTTACCCCAACTCCAGTATGAGCAAAATACAAGTTCCGTAGCAGAGGTATATCCCAATGTCGGCTCTGTCTGGGAGAGCTGGCAGTGTTTTGACAAAGAAAAACATTTGGGCTGGGTCTAAAGTAGAAACTGCAGTCAACCAGAGAGACTGGAGGGTGGGATGGAGGTAGAAGAGAGCATTTCAAAATCGAAGCAACCTGGACTTTTGAGCGGCTGCTTTTCCGTTTTCTAACCTCTGTTCTATCAATGTTGTAATTTCTAATACATTCTGAAAAATTCCCCTTTGAGAAAAGAAGGGGCTGTATCATATCAGCATGTAGTAGATATTAATCATGTCAGCAAGGGGGTAGTGATCACGGATTCCTTTAAGCCCCAACATCAATTCCCTTAAGTGTGTTTTGATCATTTGCTCGCCTGGCCTGGGCACTCACACATAAGTCTTTGCTGTCAGAAGTGAGGCGCGTGGCCTGGGTAACACAACATTTCCCCCCACTGTCAGACGCGTCCGTGGGATGAATCAATCCAGGTTCTTCTGGTTCCAGGTGTACTTAACTTGACACAAAGTATGCCTTTTCACGACTGGGCTTCTTTCCACAACGTTATTTATTTGTAGTTGTGCGAAAAAGAAACAAGCTTTAAAAGACCTTTGATGCCAAATGATAAATATATCCTTTCAAGAATCATATTAAAAAAAAGGGGGGGGGTGAATATAATAAAACTTTTAAGTTTTAAAAAAGTATTCTTCATTCCCCTTTAGACCTCAGCTGGATCTCCAAAATGCAGGTGAATCAGCCGGCGGTTCTGCGGCGCGCACAGCAGGTCCAGGCTCGCAGGCCGGTGAAGAAGGAGTGGCAGGTGAGGGTCTCTGCGGGCCTTCCGCTCCGGGGCTCCGGGGCTCCGGGGCTCCCGTGCTCCGGGGCCGGCCTCAGCCCTCAAGGCCACCGTATTGAATTTCGCTCAAGATGCATCTGAACTTAAAAGATTGCAGCTGTCCATGACTTATTTTAATAATTCATAAATGATGATGATGGGTGGGAGAAAGATAGCACATTCATCCAAACAAGTTAAAAATGTTATCACTCTTGAGTGGCAACGCCGCAAAGGATGTCGAGGCATCTTTATTCATGAGTGTATTAGACGGCATATTTTCTCAGCACATCTATTCAGTTTCTTAGACATGCCTTCTTCGGATGTCTTCTATTTTAATTTTTAAACTAACATCTAAGCCTGGTGTGCCCACTGTTGAGGTCCTTAGGTGACCTCCTTTGACCATCGTGTTTCCCTTACTATTGATTTTCATAAGTCATTTTTCAAAATTCAAAAATGATGTTTTGTGGAGTACTTGGGGTAAGTGTACTCTCCCATGGATAACAACCCAGGACGTGCTGTGCATCGCAGGACTAAAAGGAAGTGAGAGTTTGTTTTACAAAGGAGGCGAAGTGTTGTGATTGGATCCTCTTGGCTGCCACCCCACATTTTGTTCATCTTTGGAAATATTCCGATTGAAAAGTTAAAAGGAAATTAATCAGAAGGAGTTGTGAAATATGAATATTATTTAAAAAATGGAATTGGATTTCATCGAAACAAACAAAGAAATTAGAGAATCTTTTTATGATGACTTATCTCAGAGGGAGATAAAATGTAAGATAGAAGTGCTCTTGTTTCTGCATTCTCCCACAATGGGGTACCCGTGAGGGGCTTCTTGTGAATGAGATGGAGAAGTCAGATGTGGGGAGACTTGTCCTATTAGGGATTTCAAGTTGGAATATCTATGGGAGAGACAAAAATTAAGGCTACTCTTTCCCCCTTTTACTTTATTCTATGTAATATTCATGTTGTTGGTCACTCTTAGCAATATTTATATAAGAAGGATATGCCTTTGAATAGTATAGATGTCAGATTTTAGAATGTGTGTTTGTCTAGTGGTTCTCTACTAACTAGCTGGGTTGCAGATTAATTTTGTTAACCTTGTTTTTATTTTTCTTCACACCAGGCTGCTTGGCTCCTGAAAGCTGTTACCTTTATAGATCTTACTACACTTTCAGGCGATGACACATATTCCAACATTCAGAGGCTCTGTTATAAAGCCAAGTATCCAATCCGGGAAGATCTCTTAAAAGCTTTAAATATGCATGATAAAGGTAATGTTACTGTGTATAATCTGTCTGGAGGTTACCTTTTTACAATACCGATGACTAAATCTAAGAGGATTTAAGACAGGATCAGCTGCTGAAATGATAACAGCAATAAAATCCATGATAGAATTGTATACACAGACATATAATTGAGATTCTTCTGTGAAAGACAGCAGGGAGAGAGTCTGAGTCTTATGTTTAAGTCAGTTCTTTCCATCATCGATTGAAATTGTTGGTAGAGAGTTTCTTGATTTTTTTTTTCCATTTCTTCAGTTTGGGGAATTTTCTGTCTAGTGACTCTAAAACACTGATTCTGCTTCTCTAACCACATGTGAAAAAGCTAGTCTCATTACTTAATAATCACATCTCATACATAAAGTATTTTCTGCGAGTAAATGAAATACTTTTGAGAATAGAATGCAAATGGGAAATATTGTATGCTTGTATATTAAGTTAGATCTTTTGAAAAAAGTTGTATTCGCTCTCTTAGTCTACATGAAAGAACTTATAGCAACTTCTTAAAGTTGCTGTAAGTATAGAACTTTAACATTTTAGAAATGGAGGAGACCTTTGAGAGTCGATCTCCTTATTTATAATGAGGAAGTCAAGACCTAGAAGGTGAAATGCTGGTTCCATGAAGATGTGCCCTGTGACTGTGCTCTGGTGTTAGGAGCCAGATCTTCCCAGGGCTTCATCGTTCCCGAGTGCGCCTGTCTGTCATGAGTGCAGCTGGAGATGTTGCAGTGGCCCAGTAATTGTAGACCTAAACACTCTGCGGCATTGTTTTTTAATCTGCATCTCCATATTCATTGCAGCACTTTTTTTCTTTTTTGATTTTAGATAGAGAGGAAGGGAGAGGAAGAGAGAGATAGAAACATCAATGAGAGAAAATATCAATTGGCCGCCTCCTGCATGCCCCCCACTGGGGATTTGGCCCACAACCCAGGCATGTGCCCTGACCGGGAATCGAACTGGTGACCTCTTGGTGCATGGGTTGACACTCAACCACTGAGCCACAATGGCTGGGCAAAACTCTATGGCTTTTGAAAAATATTTATGATGTTTCTGTTGAGTTGACAATAAAAACAGCACCTCTCAGTAGCACTTACTGGTAACAGCTTTGGGAGAGACGGGTTAAAAAAAGTAACAACTCTGTATAAGTCTTATGCTATTATGTTGTTTTGTTTTATAATGGCTATTTGACTTTTTAATTTTTTGTTTTTGTAAGAGCTTATTTCTCAAAATTAGGGTTCTAGATTTATATTTTATTATTTCTTATAAAAGAGGGGATAGGATTAATTAAATATCATTTTGCTATACTACCCTGTAAGATTCACTTATATTTTTCTTCATCCACTCTCAGAACGCTGTACAACTCTGGACTTTGCTAATTACATGACATAAGATATTTTTGTTGACCCAAGACCACCAAGTTTATTGTTTAAGAATTGGCATTATGTTAACTTCAAAAAACGATGTGTCACAGTTGTCTTATTCTATGACTGCAATGAGGAGAAAGTGATCCATGTTGTCAGGAACTAGAAGGGAATGTGGAAAATCAAAACCTTTAAATTTTTTGCAGCATCGTGGGGGGATTATTTTTTTCTCTCATTTTGATTTCTGCCAGTGTTGTAGTATAGTTCATAATTAAAAGCATGTTGCGAGACTCGAACTTCACATTCAGGAGGCTGCTGTGATTTCTGTCTTCATAGGCGTCACTACGGCTGCCGTGTGTGTCTACCCGGCCCGCGTGTGTGATGCGGTGAAGGCGCTGCAGGCCGCGAGCTGCAGCATCCCCGTGGCATCAGGTACCAGCGCTGTGGCTTCTGTCGATGTCCTGTGACAGGTCCCCAGCTCTTCCATGCAGACACCTTGGGGTATTGCGTATAGTTTTACAGTGTGATTTTACTTAGTTTTATGTATTTGGTTGGTTGTATTTATTTATTCCTTCTTTTAGTATTGATTAATCGCTTTCTAGTTAGCAATGAATGTTAATTAATTCATTACTAAGTCCTTTAATCGAAGGGAATCATACTCATTCCCAAGAGTATAGAATTGTATCCCTCTCCTTAAGGAAACTTACTTGTTTTGGAAGAATAGTCAAATTAAAAAAATCATAATGTCAGGTATGTAGTATGTTATACATATGTAAAATGTGATGATAAAGATTTGTGGAAGAGCCCTGGCTAGTTTGGCTCATCAGTTATAACGTTGGCCCTGGACCAAGGAGTTGCAGGTTCGATTCTGGTCAAGAGCATCTATCTCAGTTGCGGTTCAGTCCCTGGCCCTGGTCGAGGTTGTGCAGGAGGCAGCCAATCAATGTGTCCCTCTCACATTGGTCTTTCTCTCTCTCTCTCTCTCTCTCTCTCCCCCTCCTACTCTGTCTGAAGATAAATGGAAAAATATCCTCAGGTGGGGATTATAAAAAAAAAAGATTTGCTGAAAGTACAGTTGTAACTCCGAGTGGGGACTGATTTATTCTGCAGAGGGTTGTGACCCTCAGAGGGTAAGGGACTGCATCATAGAGATGATGATAACTGCATGGGTCGTAAAGGGTGAGAGGCGTTTACAGGGCCGATAAAGCAGGGAATGGCGTTTTAGATGGAGGAGAGAGCATGGGAGAGGCGCAGAAGTGTCCAGGGAACTGCAGGTGGTTCGCAGTTGTTGGATCCTAACCTGGGACACAGCGGGAGCTGTAGGAGTTGAAGCTGGAGATCTGACTGGGAGACTGTGCCAGGATGCGGCATTGGGGCTGTGTTCTCATGGGGAAGGTACTGAAGGGTTTAAGCAGAGGCAGGCCATGATCCGCTTCATGATGTACCGAGTTAGGGCATGGCAGTGGACAAATTGGAGAGGGCTGATTGGAGTTAGAGAAACTATCACTGACCATGTGGGAGATGATGAGAGCCACCCCAAAGCCTGGAGGATAAAGAAAGGGGGCATATTCAAGAGTTACAGACTTGGAATAAGGGAGAGAAAAGTCTTTTTAAAAGCTTCAATGTAAGTGTGTGTGTGTGTGTCTGTGTGTGTGTATGTCTGTGTCTATCTGTCTGTTTGCCTCTTACTAGGTGGATGGGTGGATAGACGTAAAATTAGATTCTACTTTTAAAAGATGTTGGAGGAATATCTTGATGCTTTAAAAAAAGGAATCTATAAAGATTATTAATTTATTTCATTAGAAATACATCAAAAGAAACATAATATACAGTATTTATATACCACCCATTTGTGAAGATTCCCAAAGTATTTGGCAGCCTCACCTTTATCGATGTGAATTTTTCAGCAGCCTCGGTTAATTCAGCTTTTCCTCTGTACAACAGAGAAACATGCTTTCTTCTAAGGCAGCAGAGCCAAGGAATTCAATAACATCAAGGTAACAAAAGATTAGCTTTAGACACCAGATTGGAATTAATGATGCACATGTAAGAAATGTTAATACTGTCCTGACCAGTGTGGCTCGGTTGGTTGGAGCATTGGTATACTGAAGAGTCTTGGGTCCGATTCCTGGTCAGGACACATACCTAGGTTGTGGGCTCAGTTCCCCAGTTGGGGAGCATGTGGGAGGCAGTTGGTATTTCTCTCTCACATCGATGTTTCTCTCTTTTTCTCCCTACCTCTCTCTCTCTTAAAAAAAAAATTAATACTTTTTCAAAAGTGTAGCTGTATTTTCATTTTTCTTTTATTTATACTTGGCCCTGTTCTTCCCAGCTCTGTCCATGTCCCAGTTTTGTTGACTGATCAGGTGATTTTTCTTTATTCTCTTTTCTTTATTTCTATCTGCTTGGCTGGTGGTTTTAAAATAAGCGGTGGGAGGAACCTACATTACAATTTGGTTACAATGGCTAAAACTGTGAATAATAAATCAAGAATACATTGATGGCCAACTGATCAAGAGTAGGATCCATAATTAGTGCCCATCAAGATAGGGCTGCAGCTACTGTTTTATGAGCATCATTGTGATGATAACCTAGTTTTAAATTGCTACTTACTCAGCACCCTCTTGAGTATCTCTAAAGCAACTTGATTTCAGGTCTTAAATGTCATTAATGCTTTGGTCTCTAAATGCCCATTTATTTTGTCTGAAATCCTTTATTGAGGTACTGATCACATGAAATTCCTTTCTTTTTTATTTTATTTTTATTATCTATTAGTGGCCACTGGCTTTCCAGCTGGACAGACTCATTTAAAAACACGATTAGAAGAGATTAGACTGGCTGTGGAAGATGGAGCTACAGAAATCGACGTGGTAATTAACAGGACCTTGGTGCTGACAGGCCAATGGGAAGGTAGGTGCATGTTCTGACCAATGAGGGAGACACAGTTCTTTCCTGGTGGATGAAATGGTTGGGATCTGGTAAGAGACAGCATGTTTTCGAAAGTATTGATCCAGATCACAAGACATTGGATCAGAGGGTGAACGTAGGAGAAATCGTGGCTAAGATTACTCATCCTTGTGCCCCTCACAGATCTTGGAAATTGCCTACCTGCACAAGCTTTTTAGATTCTTTTGAGTGCTTAGGTGGATAGTTATTTCCCTGCAATAGATTATTAACTTTTGTCCTATTTTGTATTGTTTTGTTACTCAATGCAATAATCGCTCTAGGCAGGTCTTTCATGCAGAGTTTATTTTAATATGATGAAGGAAATTTCCCTTTTATATGTTAATCTTTGTGGATTTTTAGAATGTGAAATTGTTAATGTCTGCTAAGTCTGTTTCTACTTCTTTATTTTTATTTTTTCCTTTATTGTCTTTAGAGAGAGAGGAAGGGAGAGGGAGAGAGAAACATCGATGAGAGAGAACATTGATTGGCCCTCTCCTGCATGCTCCCCACTGGGAATCGGACCCACAACCTGGGCATGTGCCCTGACTGGGAATTGAACCTGCGACCTCTTGGTGCGTGGGTCGATGCTCAACCACTGAGCCACACCAGCCGGGCTCTACTTCTATTCTTGCACATAACTCTTATGAATATTATTTCATGTTCACCTTTGAGATTCATGATTTACTATTACACTGATTACAATAAGATGTTTTCTATTCCAGTAACACTGTTGTTTTTTATAATTAGATAGCAAAGAAAAAATATTTTACCTCTATATATATCTTTTTAAAATATATTGTTATTGATTTTAGAGGAAGAGGAGGGGAGAGGGAGAGAGAGAGAGAAACATTGAGCGCATCCCAAACAGGGATCTAACCTGCAACCTGAGCATGTGCCCTGACCTGGAATTGAACCAGCGACCATTTGGTGCACAGGACGATGCTCAACCAACTGAGCCACACCATCTATGGCTGTCTTAAATATATTTTGTATACTAGAGATCATTGATTGCTAAAATAAGTATAATGATCTGTTATTATAAAAATTATAAAAAGTCGTTTAAAAAATTTTAACACTATCATAAGATAAAGCCAGAGTGATAAAATGTCTCTTTAGCTATTTTATTCTAATTATGGAAGTTATACCTGCTCACTGTTAAAAACAAAAATTCCAACCAGTAATAAGGAAGTGGATGTTCCAAATACTCATCCCCTAGGAATGACCCTGCAGTGTACAACTTTGCAGACTTTTTTCTCTTCACATACATACACATGCAACTCCCACTCTTTTTAAAAGTTTAAGTAAGCCTGGCTGGTGTGGCTCAGTGGTTGAGCATCAACCCATGAACCAAGAGCTCACCGGTTTGATTTCCCAGTCAGGGCACATGCCCAGGTTGTGGGCCCGATCCCCAGTAGGGGGCATGCGGGAGCTGCCAATCGATGTTCTCTCTCATCGATGTTTCTGTTTTTCCCTCTCCTTTCCTTTCTCTCTAAAAGTCAATAAAGAAAAAAATTTCTTTTAAAGTTTAAATAAAAAGGTAGGATTATATTTAATGTACCTTTTCTTAATCTACTTATTGGGCTTGCCAGTAACTCCTGGATATCTTTCTGTGACTCATTCTATCAACCCGTTTTTCTTATTGTCTATAAATTCTAATTCCATTGTTTATCCATTAAGAATTGCTTTTGGTTATGGAGTAGTAAAGATTGAGTTAGCGGTTTGAATATGTAGTGATTTATTCTCTAATGTAAAGTCTGGAGGTTATTTCAGGAGCATTGTGGCAGCCCCACAGAATCCTTGGAGAGCTGTGCTACTTTTATCTTCCACTTCTAAAGCCTGTGGCTTCTACTGTCCTGCTCAAGGGCACTTCATTGTCTAAGGCAGCTTCTGAAGGAAGCACCAGCCTTTACTCTCATCTGCTAGACAGCAGGAAAGAAGGGCTTGCCCTATCCCCAGATCACACACTTACTGACACCTCATTGCCACGCTGAGCTACTGGCCACGCGTGGCTGTGAGTGAGTTGGGAAATGTGGCCTTTTAACTAGGAACTACATTCCTGTGCATTCTTAATAAATGAGCTGGTGTACATTTCCGTGCCCAGATGGGAAGGAGTGAGGGAAGCGTGCGCACGAGTGAAACAGGATGTGACAAAAGCTTCACAGTGAAGGATCGGCTGAAACAAAACCAACATGTTGAAATAAAAAGATACATGATACATGAAATAAAAAGATACATGAAGTCCAAAGGCACAACACTCTGGACCAATAGCGATGAGCCAAGTCATGTCAGAGATTTCAGCCTCCGAGATCATCACTGTTCCAGGTTAATACAGTCAGGGTACAACAGTTCTGAATGTTCTAGAAAAAATGTTAGGGCCATTCTCATTGCCTTATACTCCCCTGTATACTCATCAATTCATTTTAGTCCTTGCCAGGTTTAAATTCTTGACAGTTCACAAATATCTTTTTACACCTTTGATTTTTGTTCCCTTTCTTATGGTCCATGTGTGTTTTGGCCTATTGCATTAATTCTTAAAAGGCCTATTTGAAATAGATGTCCCTTGTTTCTGTATATTAATTTTGCTTGTCTGGTTTTAGTCACAGATTTCAGTTAAGATTTAAGGCTGGAGTAAGAGAAAAAATGAGTACATGTAATATTTAAGATAAATTTATATGATTTAGTTGGATAAAAAACTATGCCCTTTATTTATGTCTTTTACAAAGAGTCATTTGTTTTTACTCTGGTATGTGGTATAAATGTATAATATTCAAATATTATAACTGCAGCTACTACAAACAGCCCTCTACCTATCGTTTGTTGGATACCTACTCATTTCTTCTGGGTGTACCACCTAGGACTGGAATTGCTGAGTCACAGGGCAGCTGTTAACTCTGAGAACTCGTGCAGTTAGAAATAGTTTTGGTAGGTTATATATCGGTTAGGCCAGACTGTGTTACAAATAAGCCTCATAACTTACGGTTTAATGTATCCAGTGTCTTCTGGCTCAGACAAGCCTGCTGGAGGTTAGGTAACTCCCCAGGGCAGGTGTCTCCCCTGTGGCCACCCAGTGATCGAAACTGCTTCAGTCTTGTGGCTTTGCCATCTCAGAAAGGCGGAGCTCACACCTCTGTCCTCAGTGCTTTGGCAGGAAGTGGCACATGTCACTTTTGCTCACAGACACTTGATCAGAACACATGGCCTCGCCTAAGTTGGAGAAATCTGGGAAGTATAGTCTTCTGGGCACAAGGAAGGAAAGGAAAAACAAATATCGGTGTAAGTAATGTCTACTCCACTCACATATCCAGCAATACCTCTTTCTAGTGTCACAGAGAAATGCAGGTTTGTCCAGGTGTTCAGTTCTAAGTACAAAGTAATTATTTTTTTTTTATTTTTCATCATTATATTTTTGTGCTGCTTGGTGGAAGATTTTCTCAACTTTACTTTCCAGTTATTTTATTGATTTAAAAAATTGTCTCTACTTTTATCTTTGTAATTTGTGTGAGGTTTTTGTTTGTTTACTTATTCTTCTTTTTTTTTATTTTTTATTACATCCTGTTGTTTTGTGGATGTTAATTAATAAAAGGTTTTATTTTTTAAGTTAAAAATAATAAGTGTAGATGTAGAAGTATAGTTTATATTGTAACCGGTGCATTTGTCTCTAGAATACCACTAGTTAGAAAATTAAATACAGTAGGCAATGGGTTTTGATGTAAGTGGCAATCCCTTAATGGACTAGGAATGGGTGTTTATAAGAACTGGTAATTTCCCAATAATAGGCATTCATGCAAAATATAATAACACATCTTTGGACTAGGAATGGTTGTTTTTAAGAACTGATAATTTCCAATAACAGGCATTCATGCAAAATATAACAGTACATGTTTTTCCTAGACCATACTTTTCTATTAACCCTTTTTTATGGTGTTAATAACCTCTTGACCCAAAACAAATTGAAAAGGAACATTTAATACTAGAAATTTAATTCTAAATCGAAATCAGCAATGACTTAGGATTTTCTCCACTGCAGTATTTTATCTTACTTTAGTTCTCAATTTGATTACATATTGTATTTTTTCAGTGTCATGTTTTAATATTAGCTGTTTATTAAAATATGAGTCTGAAATTGATTTCTTGAAATTTGCTGATGGGGATGTCTGTTGGGCTATTACACATTCAAATCTAGGTCCTTCTCCTCCATGCACTGAGAGTATGTAGGACTCTGGTTAAAGAGAGAATCCCATTTTAAAAATCTGGCCTTCGAAGTGCATCTGAAACATTATTTATAGTCCCAGGAATCGACAGGTTAGGATATGAACTCAAAGAGGGACCTGGAGGGGCTCATACTCCTCATCTTGGATTCTCCATGGTGATGATATAACGTCTCTACTTTTCTCAGACGTTTAATTCTTCTACCCATCTTGAAGCTCCTTCACTGACCTACCTGCTATTTCTCAGAGAAGAGAAACACATTTGACAAGGCCTCCCTCAAGGTCCTTGCATCGGATCTGCTTCTTTCTTTTCTTCCTCCTAAGTCCAGTCCCTCCATTGTGCCATGGTTCTCATTTTCTTCCACATTTGCAAAGGCCTTACTCCATTTTTTGGCCATTTTTTTTCTCCTGTATCTTTAGCCTCTCTCTACTTGCTTCATCCTCATCAGCATCTAAACAGATATAAGCTTTTCTTATTCGTTAAAAACACCCACGTACCAGCAATCCTCTTCATCCCTAGCTGAATTTCCCTTTCTATTCTCCCTTGATGGCTAAAATTCTTGAGCCAAATTTACTTGTTTTTTTTGAATCACTTCTAATCAAGATACTAATGACCTCTCATTTTGCTGTGCCCAGGGGATACTCTTCAGCTGTTTATTTTACAAAGTGGTCCCCCTAATATTTCCAGTACCCACCTGGCACCACACATAGTTATTACAATATTATTGACTGTATTTTCTATGCTGTACTTGACAT